TTTTTTTTTTTTTTTTTTTTATGTATGTTACCGCATAACTTTGGACCACGTCAACAGATTTCGATTTTTGAATCGGAAAGGTAGTGTCTCAGAGGTGGTCCCATACTAATCTGGTTAAGATCCGAACAGTGGATCATGAGATATATATATATTTTTTTTTTATATGAGAGTTGAAGTCGGTTTTTTTTGCTAAAAATTACTTGTATTGGATTAAATGAGCAGGAAAGAATGTTACTCATACGCCATGTATGTACATTAGCGTGGTACAAAAACAGTAAAGTAGGAATTGTAATGCTCTCACCCCCTAGGATTTTTCTATATCGAAAAAAGTATACCCCTATTCTTTTATTTTGAAATCAAAAAATATTTAGAGGTCGCTCAAAGCACTCACAGTTTTCCATGTATTTTGATATGGGAAAAATAAAATTTTTCGTAGAAATGGTATAGAAGTTTTGAAAGTCAATATTTTTCGATCGGAAAACTCTGGTTCCCTTCAGCAGACTTTCAATAATAATACCCAATACCACTTTTTAATACTAACGATTTTTTTAGTGGTCGCCCCATTGCATTGAAAAAATGGTTAAATAAACAATTGGTTATTATTAATGAGAATCTCCTGCAGATAAACAGAGTTTTCTGGTAGAAAAATATTGATTTTTTACTATTCTATACCATTTCTACGAAAAGTTGTTTTTCCCCCATATAAAATACGTGGAAAACTTTGGGCACTTTGACCGACCTCTAAACATTATTTGATTTCAAAATAAAAAATAGGGGTATATTATTTTCGGTATAGAACAATCCTAGGCGGTGAGAGCATAAAAATTCCGACTTTACCTTTTCACATGCATTTTTGGACCACCCTAATGTACATATATGTTTCTCGTATTTATAAATAGATTCCCTGAGGAAGACGCGAATATGTGCCAAAACAAGTAGGAGCAAAATAAACGTTTATTCTATTTGTAATAAAAGATCGAAAAGCTCCATACATAACATTAAACTTTCATCTTAGTCGAGGAGAAATAATTATAACATACATGTATGTTCGGTTTTTGTACGGCTGCTGGTACAACTTTGTATAAATTCGCTACTATTCTAGCGAGAATCTGAAATGTGCTACTCTTCCACGCAAAAATCTGAAATGT